TTAAGTAAATGTGGCCGAGTCGGTTAAGGCACGTCAGCGTAAATGACGGTTCCGTATAGGATGCAGGTTCGAATCCTGTCAAAGGACGAATATTTTCTATGAAAATTTCTCGAACATTCAGGCCGGTAAATGTTATTTAATACTGTTTATTATAAACAGAGCATTTACTTAAATACTTGTATCTATAAAAAAAGAACGTTAAACATAAAAATGTCTTTAATAAAAATATATATATATATATATATATATATATTTAAGTTACGAAAAACTTGCTTATCCGTGTGGGTAGTCCCAAGGAGGATGAAATCCTGAGAGCACAATATAAATTCAGAGCTAATAATTTAAAGAAAAAACAGACCACTTTAAGGCTCCATTGTAAAAGTTTATTTCACCAGAGACATTTTAAAGTAAAGATTTTTAAATTTAAGAAACGCAAATAAATATTCAAGATAAGTGAAAAATTTAGATAAATTATAGATGTGATTAAATGGGGTCTAATAAACAAAACTGAATGATATTTTTTCTAATTTTTTTTTATAATGTAAATAATATTTATATTATTTTAGCTAGTTATTAATTTATGTATTATATATTTTAAATAAATTGTATATATATATATATTTATATATATATGTATATATTTATGTATTCTTATATTATGTTTAATAATTTACATTATATCATTATATAATTTATATTTTATATTTTATATATATTATGTATTTTATATTGTATTTTATATATGTATTTATTTCTATCTATAAAAGACAGGATGTGTGTGTGTATGTGTAACGAATGCACGACCGTAATTTTCGACGAATTTGCACCAAAACTTACATGCGCATGCTCCAAGTTAGTGTGAAGGCCAAGACCGACTTTGCATTTCCCAACTCCCATCGATAGTGGAAATAATCGATTTTTTCATGCTTCTACGGCAGTTTTCATGTAGTTTGCGGCCATTTTCTACTGGCCAGAGTGAGAGCCTATAGCTGGCTGCCACGACTAGGTAGGAAGATTCTATTGGCCAGCGTGAGAGCCAACAGCTGACTGACACGAATGTTAACTGGCATGAAAAAATAACGAGAGCTGCATTCGTCACAAGTGGGAAAAATTTAAATCTGCATGGCACTTTACTCCAATTGGCTCATTCGCTTGCTTGGACTCAACGTTGATTCTGATTCCGCAGAACTGGGTTGGGTGTGAAAAAGTATTTGTTGTTAACATTCTTTTTTCATTCGGTTTTTCCAGTTACGAGTCTTTTTTTAAAGCTGATCGTTTTGTGTTCCTTTTGTTTAGTTCTGTTTTCGTAACAGATTTAATGTTTAGTATAGAGGTTAGAAAAAATTTGCAGTGTGAGATAGGCAAGAAGTAAGGCATGGAGCAACATCAGCACGGCAAAGGGCACCCCTTTAAAGGCGAGGAAGGGCAAAAATATTTTAAGTCAAGTGATAGCGTTTGCTGTATGAGTCGTACGATTTTTGAATCAAGCACGGGCAACGCCGGGCCATGCTTCTAGTATATATTAAATATATATATTTATGTACATATATATAATTGCAATATATATTTTAAATAAATTATATATATATATATATTTACATATATATGCATTTATATATATATATATATATATATATATATATATATATATATTATATATATATATTTTACATTATATTTTATATATTATATTATTATATATATCATATTTTATATTGTATTATATATTACATATGTATATATTTCAATATATATATTTATATATATCTCTATCTATCTATCTATCTATCTATTTACATCACTATTAAATGAATTAGTAATTTTATTGTATATATATATATATATATATATATATACATACATACGTACATATATACAATGAAATCCCTAATTTATTTAATTGTCATGTAATTTCAATGAAATGCATGTTATCATTTTTGTTTTTTATTCATATTTTTAAACACGGTAATAAATACACTTAGAACAAAGATACATTTATAAATTTTACGTATTTCGGAACTTTTCGTAAAAGAAGTTTTTTATAAATTCTGTAAATTGTAGCATTTTACACTAGAGATGCGATATATATATATATATATATATATATATATATATATATATATATATATATATATCAGCACTAGCATATCTCTAGCACTACTCTGATTTTCATGAACGACACAATCATCGGGTGAAGAGTTCAATCATATATATATATATGTATATATATATATAAGTGTGTGTGTGTATAAAACGTTATTTTAAGAGGATACTCGTATTTGAGTACACGCTCCGTTTATTTTCTAAACAGTGTTTATTTTGGTCTACTGTCCTGCGTAATTGAGAACACTTATTAAAGAAAATACTCCCCTTCTTCGGCAGGATTCGAAACTCGGTCTGCCTTTGCGGGAGAATCCACCGTCTCATCAGGCCTGCTTTGAACCCTCGGCTACCAAGATCCTCAAATAGAAGCAGGGTTCTATTTGTCGCAAAAGCATGTTCGCTGGTTTCAATTTTTTTTTTTTTAAATCATATCTACTTAGTATATGAGTTGAAAATACAAATTAGACAAAATTATGAAAAATGGTTAAAGAAAAATAAGGAACGATCCGGAAAAAATTAATAAATTCAAGATATTTATTATTTATCCTCATCAGAGATATTTTGAGAGTTTCTATTCTTGTTGCGCGTCTTGGGGGTTATATCTGCATTTAATCAATACAACAACCATATAGTTCAAAACACTTCACACTCAGTTCGGGTCGTCAGAGTTCTGACCAGTAGTTTATCAGTTTGGCTCAACCTAGTAGTTTTGTAACACATTTATCGGCTGAATTTCTAGGAGTTATCATTAACTGCATGCGAATTATGGTCTTCGTCTGTCTTTTTTGTTATCACAACGTTTCAGCCGGTGTGTACTCCGGCCTTTATCACGTGTATGTTGATCCGTGTAACTTACAAGGAATTACGTAATGTACCCTTTATTTAATCTACGAAAAACATTGTTCCCGTTCTGCTGTCCATTGTCAAAGGATATCTCATCTAGTACTTATTTAGTACTCCACATTGCTCGCCTCGTTCTCACTGAGTCCAAGTTCACACTGTGGCACCATTTAACGAGGCAGAAAAAGAAAAGAAAGAAAAGAAGGAAAGGAGAGGCTAAGACCCAAAGCGTGGATGATAAGCAGAACACCATGGCTAAGAGACAATGGATAAAGGATATTTTGATAAGTAACAAATGGCGAAAGAGTGTCATTACAATGACAGGGAAATTCTGAGTGGATAAAGGAATCGGGTGTTTTAATGACGGCTGTGTTATCTGGGATACGTAAAACAAACTGCTGGCCGATTGGCCAAAGAAAAATCCAAATGAAAATGTTATTTCGATAAGTGACGGAAAACAGGTGGACTAAAGGGCTTTGGATAGATATGAAAAATTAAAAGCCGCACACGATGTGTCCACTGACCGATTTCTTTCGACGGAACAACTTTAGCCTGCGATAATAAAATTATGTTATCAGAAATGTGTACCGAAATGGGAACTTAGAAATGTTCTTTTCAGGGCGACGTCTGGCCGTGTTAAAAAGACCACCCATTCGGATAATTAGCGATAAGATGACGGACGAAGTCCAGGTGTAGAACAAGAGTTATGACCACCGTCGTCGTATTGTCCTGTTTGCGGCTAGAGAAAATGATAACTGCGATTAAGAGGAAGAAAAGGAAAAGAAAAGATAATTTTTTTTTTAGTTAAGCAAGATATTTTTTTTTCCTGAAACAAAACCGAGGATTCGTCCACGCCCGACTAAGACATCATTGGTCGAGTGGTGATCACGTGACGCACGAAGGAGGCTGTCGCCGCCCATCCAGAGGGTAGGTATGAGAAGCCGCTACGAAGAAGTGGGGAGGGCAGTTCACGCCCCTCTGAAGTATGGAGAGAAGGTGGGAGTAAGAAAAGGCTCCCAAAAATGGAAAAGAGTGGAAAATTCCTAACCAGAAATAAAAGAGGTTGATATGTATTTAGAATTATCGAGGAACCCCCGACGCCGACAAACCCACCCCGGTTTTGGTCGGCGTCCATATAAGCGAAGCCACAGCGAGCAGAAATCAGTTAAGTTTTCAGTTCGAGTTGAGTTCAGTTGAGTTCGAGTTGAGTTCAGTTCAGCAGAAGGGAAGTTGGTTCCGCCTCGCAGATAGCTGACTTGAAAGATTCACGCACATTCCGGACTCCTCTTCAATCCAAGGACAATTATTTTGAAGAGCGACTTAGATCCAGACCACCAAAATAAGTTTTTTTTCGACTTTCGTCTGAAGACACACCGAAAAACCAATTTCTTAAAGAGCAAACAACTTGAAGCATTAAGACTCGCCTAACGGAAAACAACGTGTCACAATCCATAGAACGGGTCGGGAAATAGACGCAGTCCTATGTATCGAACAACTAGACATAAAGTTTGTTATCTTTTTCTTTGATATCTTGAACTTTTGAGTTTTCATTTTATTTTCGTTTATGCATATTTGTGTGGTGTCACCCCCGTTGAACCCGATTTGCATTACGGCCCCAACTACTGATTGATCTCGTCTGCCTAAGATCAATTCACAACGTGGGTAGGCAGACTGGAGATCAATGCAGTTACCTTGGTAACCAGGCGTTGGAGGCGGGTTGGGAACGACGAGGCTGATATCAAATCTAACCAGATTCCCACCCGAATCACCAAAAGGTTAGAACGTCACATTTGGGTGCCGCGACAGATACCAAGCCAGTTGGTCGTCACATGACGAGACAACACGACTGACGCGACAGGCGGACGTCACGTTTGGAGCGGCGACACCCGAACGGAGCAGCGAGGAGCGAACAGCTGGCGCCGCGGCGAGGACGTCACAGTTGGTGCCGTGGTAGACCAGGATAGGACGTCACAGTTGGCGCTGCGACCAGGGGACGACGTCACACACTGCCCGGTGCTGTGATTGAACTCGTGATTACAATAACATAGGGGATTTAAATGTTGGATCGTGAAATTGGTTCTATTTTCATACTTTTGCTGTTGCTGTTTTACTTTTTGTTTTTAGAAACGTCTCTCATTTGTTTGTTAGGCCAACCGCGGAGGCTTCCATTGCCTAGCATTAATGTCAACAAAGTTTTGAAAACAGACTGAATTTAAGTAATGCAAATAATGATAGCTACACATACTAGAAAGTCAGAGAGGAATTATAGTAGACCCATTTTTAATAGGGGAAGTTTGTATAGAAATGACATTTGTCTGTATAGGTATAAAATTGATTAAACAGTAACCGTTTCGTTTATTGTAAATTCCTGTCGAACTCAATTACTCAATCTTATGACATTTTTCCAAAGGCCTGTAAACAATGTATTACAGGTAGGTGATTGTATCAGGCAATGACGTGCTAAGTAAACATCAAAGACACACCTAAAATTCGCCTAATATTAAAAAAAAAAGAAAAATGACGTCGCGGACATTTATATCAACCTCGT